ACATTGGTCTTACTTTGATCTTCGAGCTAGCCGTGGTTGGTCTACCTTTCTTATCCGTATTGAGGTTTTCTGGGAAGAGGCTCCGAATGAAGTCGCTGCAATGCCAGAGAGATAAATATTTTTGGATGTTTGGAACATGTTGATTGAGATTATGGGAAAAAAGGGGTTATGCCAATTTGCTAGTGCTTTCCAGGAGTAGTAAACTATTTCAGGGAAAATTGATTACACTCATCTGTCTTTGTTCTGTTGTTCCTGGCTTCCTGTTATATTAAGTTCTCTACCCTTTACCAAACCTAAAACAACTTCTGAATATAAACAATTCTTATGACGAAAGAGAAAGAGAGAATTAGCACTTACAATTGGCTGCTTTGCATCAGTTCTATGAGGTCAGGGAAAAGCACGTCTCTGTTTCGCTCACAGAAACCGCAGATATCATACGACACCTGAATCAAAGAAGTAGGTAATAAGAAGCAATTTAGGAGTGCTACAGCATATACACTACTGTTCAAAAGTTTGAGGTTGGTAAGCACTGAAGGTCAAAAGTCGTAACACACCTTGCCAGCGTAGTGGTGAATGACGAAACCAGAGTTCCAGTTGTTGAAGTGCTCGTGTGTCCCCACCGCAGCCTGTAGCTTCTGAAGCAGAGTCATATCAGCACCATCTCCTTTGGCGTGCATGGTAGCACACACATCATCCAGCACACTCATGATGCCGGGAGGATTCTGGGATTGAGGGGGAACAGGGTTACAGTTGACAAATTGACGAATTGTTATTAATTAGTAATTGTGCTATTCATTAATATAGCACAGTCTCTCTACATGCTTACCAGTTTATTTTCTATTAAGTCACACACAATTTTGTTGTTAAAGTATTCTATGGGTGTCCATTTGATGCCTTCCTGTACATACTCTTCCTGCGGGATGTAAAGAACAATAAGTCTGATTGAGACTTTATACACATCAAGAGAGATACTAGTGAAAAGTATGATGAAAGAATTGTTTGTTGTACCTGTTCTGCTTTCAGTGTCAGCTCAATAAAGATCTGCTGCAACTTTTCATTCACAAAGTTGATACAGAACTGCTCAAAACCATTCCTCTAGAGAAAAAAACAAACAAACAGATAATTGTTATTAATAATAAAATTGAATTTAAATGTACTTAATATTTTCAAAGAACGTTACTTAAGAACCTTCACATTTGAAAATAGTCATTAAAAACACAAAATATGTCTAGCGTTCAAAGGTTTGGGGTCATTAAGATTTTTTCCTGTTACTGAAATAAGACTCTTAGGTTCACCAAGGCTGCATTTATTTGTTCAAAAATACAGTAAAACAGTTTTATGGTACAATTTTAAATTTTAATATATTTAAAAATAATAATATGTTGATTTGGTGCTTAAGAAACAATTCTTATTATCAATGTTGATTATTTTTTGCATAAAAACAATATTAAATTATGTTAATATTTTGTAACATAAATGTCTTTACCTTCACTTGATGCATTCTTGCTGAATTTAAGTAGTATTTTTTTAATATTTCAAAACTCTTACTGCCCCCAGACTTTTGAATGGTGGTGTATATTTACTGTTAATTAAAATGACAAATATACCTAATTGGCTGATTAATGAGTAGAAGATTAAAAGTCCCTCTTTATAATATGCAATAACAATCAGAAGATAGGATATAAAGGAGAGGATATTCACCTGGAAAATTTCAAATCCATAAATATCCAGAACACCAACACTGAGCTCCTCAATGGGTTTCTGCATGGCTTTATTTATTGCCTGCTCAGACAGAGAAAGGTAAAAAATGACCTTTTTCCCTCGACCAATGGTTATTGGGTGTTCATACGCCGTTCACTAACCTCAACCAGGTAGTCAAACAGACGGGCGTAGAGTGCTTTGGAGAGAGCGTCACGCGTGTAGTTCGCTTGTTCTCTGTTCAGAGTCACATCGATGGTTTCAGATTTACCACCCCATTTGGAGTCCATTTTCCTGCTGGTGAGCTTCTCCTGTAGACGGTTTTGGTCGATACCCAGCAGGTATGCAGGGAACGCCAGTACTGGGTTGAAAGCAGGGTAAAAAATGTCAATGCAAAGTCTAACAGAACATTTCCAAAGATAAAAATAATCAGTCACTATTATTACTCAGAACAGCAAATGGGCAAATTCCATCTACATATCACTTACAGTCCGTGCTCTCCACCTGCGCATAGTTTCCCGCCTCAATGAAACTGACAGCGCCCAGATGTAAGATGCCAGCTACAATCTGCAGCACCTGCCTCTGAAACATCTCCGGTATGCCGATCACCTGCATAGCTTCCTGTAGACATCAAAAATTAGTAGCGAAAACTGAACTGTTCTCACAGTGTTTGAGAGGAGACACATAATCTAGCATGATCATTTTGAAGAAAATATGTACCATGGTTTCTTGGAAGTCCTTGCTATCATTAGTTCCATCCACCTTGTATGTTCCAGATTGGTTCAGATAGTAGTAGTAATCTGGGGTCATAATTCCCAATTCTTCCTTCTGCCGAGGCGTGCAACCATCTATTAGCTTAAAAAGAGAGAGAGAGAGAGAGGTGGTTAATTCATTAGCTATTCATGCTACCCATTAGTATTATCTGAAAATTTTGTGTGATCAGCATGAATTTGTCTTTTGATTCTATGAATTTTCCAGATGCATATTTCATTAAATATTTAATATATTTAAATAATAAATATATTAAATAATTATTTAAATAATATTTACATGTATTTATTTACATGCATATATGTATATTCATATAATTCGTATTATTTATAAATATATTTAATATATAAACATAACATATTTTTCTTAAATATATACATGCATGTGTGTGTATTTATATATACATAATAAATATACACAGTTCACACACATATATTATATAAACAAAAACTTTTATTTTGAATGTGATTAATCGCGATTAATCATTTGACAGCACTAATATTATATATATTCTATTGCATAATTAATTTATTTTTGATGGTGACAGCTGTTTTTTTATTTCCCTTTTGTTTTCTGTTGTGTATTTCTAATATCTTTTAAAGTAAAAAAATTAAAAATAAAACTCCTGTGATCTCAGTGACTTAAGTCAAATATTTTACATTTAAGACAATGTCTAAACAAAAGAAATGTTCCTATAATTAGAACATTTTTCTACCTGGTAGAAGATGTGAAAGTTCCTTTCATTTTCATTCTGGCTCACGACTCTTGATTTTTCCAGCAGGAAGTTGGAGATCTTCCCTCCGTCTGGCTCTCCTCCTCGACTAAACTGGATCTCAAAGTATTTGCCCTGTCAATCGAGCTAGCATTACTCACAGTAATGGAACACAGGTTTGCATGTTGCAAATTCATAAAACTGAGCTGCATATATGTGAGTGTGAAACGCACAAAGCGACTTGAATTGTTGTTGCGGACTGTCTTCGCATTGCCAAAGGCTTCCAGCAGAGGGTTTGATTGCAGGATAATTTCCTTCACATGCTGAAGAACAAAAACAACACAGCATACATTTTAGATCTGCCATTTGCTTCTAAAACGGTAAAAAGGTATTTCAAACACAGTTGTTACCTGTACTTTAGCTCCTCCTCCTGATACTTTAGAGATGTAGCCCATAATGTATTTAGCAGCAACTGTTTTTCCTGCTCCGCTTTCCCCACTGAACACAAACATAAGAGAAGAACATAACTCCCTGATTATGTTAAGTCTCTCTGATTCAACGTGATTCATCACCTGTACATCAGTGCTGTTTGAATTCACATTCACACACGAGCATGCTTTTAAAAGGTGGCGTCACTGTCACAGGAAGTTGTGAGCAGTGGCTTTTAAACCTCTTTTTAATTCTTTGTTAAAAAGAAATTATAGCACTCGTGGCTGAATTAATTGGTACGCCTACATATGGCTATTCTCACCCTCATTGGCCGAGACCCAAAAAACGGAAGTAGGAAAGCATCAGGACACATCTTGCAACACTAAGATGCCCCTATTTGGTCAATCAGATACATACTGCAGTGCCTATAATATGTCCTGGTTGTATAATATCAGTGGTTGGTTGAAATTATAAAGGAACTAAATTAATTCAACTTTTTTATTCCGTTCTACTGAGAAATAGTAATTTTATATATTAAATTTTGCTTGGTCATGTATGTCTAAACCTTGCTTGATTTGTTCTAGTTCATTAGATGTGATGGTTTGGCCCTTTGGAAGGTACCTAATGATGAACTTTTACATAAACTACATAAGCTGGGCAGCAAGGTAGCAAGCAGCCTTTGGTTTCAGAAAGCTATTAAGAAACAAAATTTGCCAGCCCTTCTCTGTGTAAATCAGGAAGGAAACTATACTAAGAATGGTGACCACTGCTGCAAAGACTTTTGTGGGTGTGACAAACAAGGGAAGGAACTGCCAACAGTGACAATGGGACCGAAGAGAGTAAAAAATGATATCAGCGAATGACACTGATACTGAAATGTGGATGTCTGCAAAACGGCTGAGATGGCTTGAAAATGCAGTGGATTGCACAACTTTCATCTCGAGCTGTTAGACAGTGAAAGGTCACAGACCTCTTTCTCAGAACTGGAAATGTATACAAAAGCGGATTTCTTTGAATGTTAAACCAGAAGTGAGTCATGTGAATTCCCTGATATTTCTTCTCCAGCGGTTTGATCTGGAGGTGTGGCCTGCATGTGAAAGTGGGCTTTGGTTTGAACGTGGCAAGTCACAGGAAGAACATCAAATCCATGTCGAAACAGGTGGCATGTATCATGCGAGCACCACAAACCTTATAATGACACATTGATTTTCGCTGTCAATCATCATGTTCCTGTACATGTTGTCTGTCAGAGCGTAAATGTGTGGTGGGTTCTCATATTGGGCCTGAAGAAAAAAAGAAATAGCTGTAAATCTGACATAATACTATCATGGTAAATGCTAATGCTTACTGTAATGACAGTAAGTGTTTAATGTATTTGACCTACAGCTCCCTGGTAGAGCTCAATCTCACGGTCAGTGAAGTACGGCATCTGTTTGAAGGGATTCACCGATATCAATACAGGCCCTATATATGTCTTCAAACCACAGTTAAGGACATATGAACAATCCAGTTAAATTCAACCCAACTCTGTTTTTCAGTTCAACTCATTAAAAAAAATGTAATTAAAGCAGTAGTCATGTGCTGTTTTCATGGAACAACAAAAGAGTGGCTGCTAAGCGTCACGTAAAATCAGGAAGTGAGTGTGTGCTAATTATTGAGATGCACGTAAACAAAAGAGGAAGACAAAACTTCGAAGTCTTAAAAACAGCAACAGCACAAACAGTGCTAACTGATCAGCTGAGAGGAGTGTGTTAAAGGGTTAGTTCACCCAAAAATGAAAATTAGCCCATAAATTACTCACCCTCAAGTCATCCTAGGTGTATATGACTTTCTTCTTTCAGACGAATCCAGTCGGAGTTAAAATAAAAAATTGTCTTTGATCTTTCAAGCTGTTTCATGGCACTCAGCGGGTGTTGCATGCATTAGTCCAAAAGAAGTTAAATAAAAAGCGCCCATCCATTAAATAAAATGTCTCACACAGCTCCGGGCGGTGAACAAAGGCCTTCTGTAGTGAATCGATGCGTTTTTGTAAGAATAATATCCATATTCAAAACGTAATAATCACTTTAATGTAGCTTGCGCCAACAATTGTACACGGAAGCAGCTCCGGGCGGATGACGTATGAGTTCAGCGCTGCGCATGCGCCGGTGAGTCTCGTGAAAACCAACGTTTGTTAACAGGAGCAAAGGAAGCAAAGTTTCCTTACTTTAGCAAAGGAAAACCAGTCTCCTCTTGGCTTATATCGAAATCTTCCGACATTCTTCTTTACAAATCCTTGTTTTGTACTTCTAATTAGTGACCGTTGTTTTGTTTTGATCTCTCCCCTGCGCTTCCGCACGTGTCACTTCTGAGCGGCGCATGCGCAAAGCCGACCTCATATGTCATCCGCCCGGAACTGCTTCCGTGTACAACAGTGAGCGCAATCTACATTAAAGTGATTATTACGTTTTGAACATGAATATTTTTCTTACAAAAACGCATCGATTCGCTACAGAAGGCCTTTGTTCACCATCTGGAGCCGTGTGAGACATTCTTTTGTGGATGGCCGCTTTTTATTTAACTTCAATTGGACTGATGCATGCAACACCCGCTGAGTGCCATGAAACAGCTTGAAAGATCAAAGACAATTTTTAATATAACTCCGACTGGATTCGTCTGAAAGAGGAAAGTCATATACACATAGGACGACTTGAGGGTGAGTAATTTATGGGCTAATTTTCATTTTTGGGTGAACTAACCCTTTAAATCCCTTTGATATCAAGGATACAAAGATGTAGTCGTCCATGTATCTCTTTTTGAGATTTTCCACGATGGCATCTTCAGTGATCTTGGAGAGAAGCACCATGTCATCAACACCACTCTGCTTGACATTCTGGCTCTGCCAGTGATACTTACTGCCCTGAAGAACAGATGATAGAAAGAGAGAGAGAATAGAGTCACAACGTCCATTTGTAGGAATTTTACAACAAAGTTTTGACTTTATGTATGTGAGGAAATGGCTGTTGTAGTCCTTAGCAAATTACTTATTTTAATCATAAATTCTCAATGGATATTTTAGTGCTGACAAACGATTAATCACGATTAATCGCATCCAAAATAAAAGTTTTTGTTTACATAATATATGTATGTGTACTGTTTATTTATTATGTATATATAAATTCACACACACACATACAGTATATATTTTGACCATATTTACAGGTATATACATTTATATATTTATATTATTATATTTTATATCATATATAAATATATTTAATATATAAACAACATATATTTCTGAAATATATACACGCATGTGTTTGTATTTATATTATACTAGTGCTGTCAAATAATTCATCGCGAATAATCGCATCCAAAACAAAAGTTTTTGTTTACATAATATATGTATGTGTACTGAGTATATTTATTATGTATATATAAATACACACACATACAGTATATATTTTGAAAATATTTACATGTATACATTTATACCTATATAAATATATTTAATATATAAACGTAACATATTTTTCTTAAACATATACATGCATGGGCGTGTATTTATATATAAATAATAAATATACACAGTATACACACATATACTATGTGAAAAAAAACTTTTATTTTGGATGTAATCACAATTAATCTTTTGACAGCACTATAAATTATGATTTATTTTGGATGAGATTAATCGCGGTTAATCGTTTGACAGCACTAGAATATTTCGAAATTATTATAAAAGAAAATTCTTCAGGGAACCCATGGTTTCTTTCTTACTAGAAACTGAACAGGTCAACAGGAAGTCAGAAGAGATTATATGGTACCTTGATGCTGAGATCAAGGAGTGTAAATCTAATATGGAATGAAATCCACAATCCATTTTACTTACATAAACATATTGAAAATATATATAGGGCTGGATTTTATCCATCATGAATTGACTAAATTGTTAAAAGTGGGCGTCCCACACAAGAATGTAGCCAGGCTGACTTTTGAAGAGGCTTTTTGACTTTTGTGGAGGCTTAGGGTATATTTTAGCCAGAGCATGTCAATGTATCTCAATGAAAAAAACAGTTGCATTAGTGGCATTAAATTACAGTAAACCCAACAGGAAACAAGAGTTTATTTAAAAAATTGAAACTTTTCTGATTACATAGGCAGTATGTCACCCTTTTACTTCTAAATATATATCCTGTACAAATAGCAAAGGTTTTAAAAGTGACATATTGCACCGATATTGAAGCGAGTGAAAGATGCTGCCTTTGGAAAACTTAGTCATGGTCCAAACAGAGACTTACAGCATCCAGTTCCTCTTTCAATCTTCCCTGTAACTGAAGTATTTACCACTATTTCTAACCTCTGGTGATTGCAGATAGAGAAGGGGAGAAGCTAAAAGCTGAACCGAGATGCACATCTATGTACACCTAAACTTCTTTTAAAAGGAAACATGGCCTTCACAAATACAAAATCAAAAACATGTTTCTGAAAATCTTGCAACGTTGTGCGCTGGTGCAAAAAAGAGAATGTGTTCATCTTCATATTTTAAAATGGTTTAAGATGTTCAGCATTACATGACAAGTATTTCATAGTTAAATCCTTTACAAGATGACTTTTGAAGTACAATATGTAGAAAGCTTTCCTCCTACATAAGTCAGTATAAAGTACAAGAAGGAGTATGCAACTCTCACAACATTACAAATGCATCTGTTTAAATGGGGATTTTGACTCTACTGAGGTATAGGTAAGGGTAAGCTAAATTAGTCAATGTTGGTTGTAGGTAGGTTGTAATGTAGCTTCTCTAATTACCATACTTTGGAACTGGTCCAGTCTAAATAACTAGGTGATTGAACTAAGGTAGTTGTCTGTGGTTAACAGGACAGGAAACCACAGATAGTTTCCAAGCAACAGGCAGCAGACGTAAGGAAGTTATATACCTGCTGTGTGTCTGTGTCACATTTTGATGTATTACATCCTACGTACAATTAAAGGTTGTGGCTTTCTTCGCAAAATCACCTATAACTCTCAGCATAATAACACTGCCTATATTTATATATATTCGGCACGAAATGCACAATTCAACACATTTTAATTAAAATACTTTCTTTTTTACACAGAAAGCACTCTAAAATTACAGTTGGAGAGGTCGAAGTTAAATCCAGCATGCCAGAGTCTCATAGTGCTGAAATATCTAAGCCTCAACATTCATTTTTGCATTTAAATTTGAGGTAAACCAGATGTTTTTCTAAATAAGCTCCTTAAGGCTTCTTTTCTTTTGATGTGTTGCACTGTTAGAAAGCTGTAAACCCTTTTCTGGGTTTGTGGTCTGAATTCCTAGCCTTCGTTTCAACCGCAGCTCAAACATCACACAAGGAGGGTGGTCATCGTACCTATGTGAGCTACAACAGAGGTACAGACTCATAAGATTATAAATTAATTAACTGTTGTTCGATGGACACTGGATTTTCTGAAGATACACGTCTCTTTCGCTGAAAGAGGTACTGAGATATTACAGGCTACATAATGTTCATAATGTGCTGCAAATGCGAGAACTAAGATGTGTAAATCTACAGAATGAAGAATAAATATTTGTTGCTCATTGTACATCACTAATGTTCCTCTTAGCTACTAGAACTAGCAAAAAAGTGGAAAATGCTTCACCAGTAGAAAACACCCTCATCTGATCTTCACATTCCATAATTGGCTAATGAAAGCATTGTGAATCATTCAGAAATTAAAGATATTGACAAAGACAATGATTCACTGACGTCTGTGCTGATGTAAATGTCTAATATGATAGAAAGCATAGATGGAGACTGATTACAAACAATCCTATTTCCCTACTATAAAGTGGGCAGTATATGAAAAGAGTATTATGTCCAAACTCACAGTATTCATAAACCAGTAGGTGAAAAGTATCCTGAAGGAGGGATTTTTCTTTTTTTAAATCCCATGATGCCTTTATTAGCTGAGTGCACTTGTTATTCATCAAAGCCTGATGCTTTGGTTAAATGGTCACATGTTTTCTTTGGTAAGATGCTACTGAGGGCTTTCATGATGTATTTGGCCATTTTGGGACTGGGGTGGTGATTCTGAAAAATCCCATGAGGCCATGGGAGAGGATTTGTGAATGGCAATGAAGCAACACTACTGATGCTGATATGCCACATGAAAATGAGAACATTATGAATGTAGTATGTTTGGATTACATTGACACTCGCACATTCATACTATATAGTTCATCATTTTTTAAGGGTCACAAGGTAAATAAACAAGAAATACTTGAGTTTGCGATTTTGAACACAGCTGACAGAACTTTGGCAAAGCCTTTTGTTGCTTCATAAAACTGGCAAACAACACTTGAGGTTAAATAAATGTCTTCTTCTCTGCTGGTTCTCAAATATATATGGACCGTACTTAAAGCATCCAAACCTGTATGACTTTCTTCTTTGTAACACTAAAGAAGATATTTTAAAAATGTCTCAGTGGTTTGTTTTTGTTCATACAATAAAAGTGGGGTTTGAGGTTGTTTTGGAGCCTACTGACTTTCATTTCAAAGTCAAAAACAGTTTGATTATTTTTGGAATGACATCACTGATGTTCCTCTTTGCCACTAGAACTGCATGGTAATAGCCATGGTAATAGCTTTTAATTTTCGTCTATACCGGCAACTTCAAAGCTTTATTTATTTATTTATTTATTTTTTGAATAGCCTGCAATTCATATGTTATCGCCAGGATGCACATCAATGTTGTATCCATTATTATAAGGATACAACAAGCACTGTAACATGATTGATATGCAGACGTTGCACTGTAAGATATACATCACTCTATCAGAGTTAGCCTAAATGTCTTTTTGATTCTATCCTTCATGTTTGTTTAAATTTATTTGGGGATATTAGATTAATGCCGATCCATTTTGTTTATTTAGATTTTATACTATTCTAATATAGCTAGAGAGAGAGAGCGAGAGAGCGCTCTCGTAACGGAATGGATGGTTTATGTCTTTAGCCATTTATAATTGGTCTATCTATCTCCAGGGATTTCACTTGCATATAATAACACAGAAAAAAAGAAATGGTCATCTTTGTGTTAATATGCCTTGTCCCCGACCGTGTGTGTATTTATTTGCTGGACATGGGATTAACTGTAAATCCAGGGATTTTACTTGCATATAGGCCTAACACAGAAAAAAAGAAATGGTCATCTTTGTGTTAATATGCCTTGTCCCCGACCGTGTGTGTATTTATTTGCTGGACATGGGATTAACTGTAAAAACCCGGTATAACCCGGGGATAACGGTCTATCGGCTATACACCGACTGACAGGATTGTTTTTCTTCTTTTTATTTTTATATGGTATAAAAATTATGTCCGCATATTTTAGTAGGCCTATAACTTTTTTTATACTCTGTCACGTATAGCACAGAGAGTGAGAACGAAAAATAATATTTGATTCATGAACGAATTTTTGACAGAACTATCTAACTATCTTGACAAGACTATCAGAGGAAAAAATAAAGACAATAGCTACACCCCATGTTTTTCATAAAGAACAAACAAAACTGTAATTAGTAGCGTTTTATTTCTAAAACGAATCAAACTAATAAAAAACAAACATAGCTTACATACCAAACTCTTTCATTGAAAACTACGCCATCGTTGCTTAAATAAAGTTTGAATACACTACTAGTTTAAAATCACAGTATAATATAATTTGTGTAAGCCTATGAAACTATATCTCGTAATTACAGTTTAATTTACATTAAATACTAGCTTCAATGACAGCCCCACTTTGCGCATGCGCATTAAAATCCAATACCTGCGCATGCTAGTCAAACATCCAATACGTATTGGATCTGATCCAGCTACGTCATCGTGCTACAGGCTGCAGCGAGGACACACTCGGATTAGCCAACTGCCAAGTCAGTTTATAAACTAATATTTTCAACACGAACATATTAATGAATGAATGAATGAACAAATTGTCTACTTAGAAATAATATACAGTCCAATACTGCGCATGCTCGTCAAACATCCAATACGTATTGGATCTGATTCAGCTACGTCATCGTACTACAGGCTGCAGCGAGGACCTCTTGGATCATTTTCATAACAGGGATGCTAAACATTCTTGCAAACAGTCTAAACTGAATTATACATATCATGCAGGCTTTCATGTGAGGAGTTTAACAGCAAATTAGTCATTCAAAGAACAAATTTTATTTTTGAACATGAAAAATGTACCGGACCTCGGTGGCCTCATAGCTGGTTACGGGCCTGGGTGAGCCTCTTAATCTCAGTCGATTCACTAGAAAGTGAAAGTAAAAACTGATGGCGCTATCGGTATCTGACGCTGCATTAACGGCGCATATTCTCTCAGAGACGACGAGAGACAAATCTACTTCATGCTGATAATGGCAGCCTATATAGCTAAATGTTTTAATTTACTCCCTTAATATTTCTGTTGTGGCCCGAACATATGCTAGTTGAAAGAAATAAATAAATAAAGAGAGAAGAAATGTAGGCTATTTCATGTTAAACAGGTTGTTTTTTTTTTCTTTTAAAAAAAGTCGGTGCTTGAAATAAAGCTTTTTCATTGATGATTGCAGTGTTAATAATTGTAATTATAGGCCTATAATTCATTGTATAATAAACCTGTTTTGAAAGACCTTTTAAAAAACATTTTCAATGAGGAGTAAGCCAGCTCAATGAGGTGTAAGCCAGCCTAATCTTTATTATCCTCGCAGCGCGTCAGTTATGCGGTGATGAGCTATGAAATTATTGCGGGGCAAATTAATTGTATAGCCTAATATTAATTTAATAATAAAAGTAACTTAATAATAATAATAATAGGCCTAATAGGCTAATAAGAAGAATGTAACAGGCCTATGTTAATTAAAAATGCCAAATTAGATATAACTAAAGTGTATACAATTATTTTATTCAGAAATGTCATGTTTGTGATTTTTTTTTTTTTAATTGTTAATTCGTTATTTAAAATAACAGGCCTACAAATTAGGAAACAGGTGGAGTTAATCGCCGGTGTCAGTCACAAAAATTATATTTAAAATAAATAAATAAATAAATAGGACGACTGGCAACAGCTGGTCTTAAATTCTTTAGACACCGCACACCAAACGACTTTGAAGACCGACTGAAAACACTGACTGAGCTCAAATGACATTCATAATCGGCCTGACAGTAGTGTGTTCCCGGCTTCACAGATTGAACCAGTTCGCGCATGGAACTGAAAGTCTTACATTACTTGCGGGCTGATGGACGGGCTCTCTCCCGTTTTTAAAAGTCTTTTACAGAATTATGCATTGCTGCTGTTTTTCTAACATTTTCTAAAACAGCTGCAAATTACAGTCCAACTGTGAATTTACATGCGTGACATGCCCGAAACAGCCTGGGCTGCGTTTCTCGATAACGATTGATCTTAGCGCTTAAGAGCGTTTTCTATGAGTCAATTTACGATCGTTCGTTATTGTTTCATGTGCGTTTCCCAAAAATGCACTTAACACAATCGCACGTAGCCGTGCTTTAAGTGATACTTAGGAGTCGCTATCCGTTTGTCAAGTGCTGAAATGTCACCTTATAGAATGGCTCGTAATTGTAGTACTACATGCTCGTTTATTGAAATGTTAACCTAATGCTGCGTTCCAGACAACTCAGATATAATAACTATAATACAATATTATCTTATTATATTATATTATATTATATTATAGTGTATAATATTACACTTTACATAATAATATATAATATACTTTATACATAGAGAGAGAGAGAGAGAGAGACGTTATTTCCGGGTCCAATACATGGCTGGTGCACGTCAGCAAGTCAATGACAGATTTTTTTTCCAGTCTTTGAAGCATATTTCCTACATTACTTCTTTTATTTATTTATTTATTTTGTTCAGTCATTTAATTTAGGTGTGTATTTCTATTTTTCTGCCCTTTTTAATTATTTAATTTATAGATTAATAATAAAAAAAAGAGTAATAAAGTGTACAATAAAGTACAATCAAATCCTTATATTATAATCACATTGCACTTGAATAAAGTTAAAGTTGTAATCTGCCGACTGTCCTGCAGGTGACCGCATAAATCTGTCTTCTTACGATGCACTTAAGGCTTTACGATTACTCCAGAGCACTCGTAGATCTACGATGATTTTCAAGTGCTACTTAAGTTACGATGATTTTGGGAAACAGACCGTAATATTAAGATCAGTCGTACGATCGTTTTTACGAAGTTCTTAGGCTTACGAAGCTTTTGGGAAACGCTGCCCTGGATAACAATTGGCTAACACTGCTGTCAATCAAACTCATCAAGAATTATGCAAAAACACATTTTATTTATTTGAGATGTTATAATAGTTCTCTAATTGTGTTAAAATAGATTAAACAATAATTATTTAACAAATATTATATGTGTGTGTATAATAAACTGGGGGGGCATTTCATCAGAGTGAGGCCCGTCCGCTGCCTACGCCCCTGAGTCTGAGTCAAGTCTGAAGTCTATAAAAATGCGACTAGAGTCCGAGTCACTAACTCCAGTGCCCATCTCTGGACCTCACTGACTTTGATTTTATGGTTAAAAACAGTTATAACATTCTTTAAATACCTTCTTTTGTGTTCCACTGAAGAAAAAAAGTCATACAGGTTTGGAAAAACAATGACAGAATTTCCTTTTTTTTTGGTAAACTATACCTAAAATAATGTGGTTCCTGTCAACTTCACATCCATCATCTGATCTGTGCAAGTTGCTGGATTCTTTAGTACAGGCTGAGAAAGACACAAGCTTCAGAAAGCTGTAGAAGTGGTGAGGAAGTACTGACAAGAACTGCAAGTCCCCTCTGACATACTTCCCCACTCCCCCCTACCTCTGGGGTGCTGTTGCGAAAAATCCTCTCTGTAAACCTCTCGCCACACAAAGTCAAACGCTCACTTCCTACAGAAGCACCACCCCAGCCTCAAACTGCTCTCAGCTACCTCAGTGCCTTGCCCTGGCATCATGAAAGCCCTCAGTAGCACCTCACCAAAGGAAACGTGTGAACATTTTGCCGGTTTGACAGCATCAGGCTTTGATGGCTAACAAGTGCACTCAGCTAATAAATCGAGAGAAGTAAAAGTCACACATGCTAAACCATGACTAATGACAGAGGCTAATCAGCTTCCATTTAAGGAGTTGTTTGAGTTCACTACAAACCCTGTGTCTTTTGTATGATGCTGTTTTGTGAGCTTCCTTTTTAGTTTCACACATCCTATATGAACCCTTTAAGCATTTTGACTTTACAGAGGAGGAAACTTTCCAAAATTAGCAACTACAGTTGTGTAATGAGTATAATGAGGAAAATATAACCCTACATACACTTATTTACAGGCATAAACAGGAATAAAAATGACTTGAGTTTAATCAACAAAGGGCCTTTTAGGAGCAACAGATATGTACATAATTTACAGTCAGATTAGATGTGACTCAGAATAAGTCATAAAAGTTTGAAGAACTCATTAAACATCTAGTTGCAATAATACTGAGCACGTTACCATTATGCCGGTGCTGTTGGTTTCTCCTCGTTTGCAGTTCTTCTTTTGTTGAGAGTGACAGTCCAAATGTTTCTCAGCACCCTGCCATGACCAGCAGACTAAAATAGATTAAACAATAATTATTTAAAAAATATTATATGTGTGTGTATAATAAACTGGGGGGGCATTTCATCAGAGTGAGGCCCGTCCGCTGCCTACGCCCCTGAGTCTGAGTCAAGTCTGAAGTCTATAAAAATGCGACTAGAGTCCGAGTCACTAACTCCAGTGCCCATCTCTGGACCTCACTGACTTTGATTTTATGGTTAAAAACAGTTATAACATTCTTTAAATACCTTCTTTTGTGTTCCACTGAAGAAAAAAAGTCATACAGGTTTGGAAAAACAATGACAGAATTTCCTTTTTTTTTGGTAAACTATACCTAAAATAATGTGGTTCCTGTCAACTTCACATCCATCATCTGATCTGTGCAAGTTGCTGGATTCTTTAGTACAGGCTGAGAAAGACACAAGCTTCAGAAAGCTGTAGAAGTGGTGAGGAAGTACTGACAAGAACTGCAAGTCCCCTCTGACATACTTCCCCACTCCCCCCTACCTCTGGGGTGCTGTTGCGAAAAATCCTCTCTGTAAACCTCTCGCCACACAAAGTCAAACGCTCACTTCCTACAGAAGCACCACCCCAGCCTCAAACTGCTCTCAGCTACCTCAGTGCCTTGCCCTGGCATCATGAAAGCCCTCAGTAGCACCTCACCAAAGGAAACGTGTGAACATTTTGCCGGTTTGACAGCATCAGGCTTTGATGGCTAACAAGTGCACTCAGCTAATAAATCGAGAGAAGTAAAAGTCACACATGCTAAACCATGACTAATGACAGAGGCTAATCAGCTTCCATTTAAGGAGTTGTTTGAGTTCACTACAAACCCTGTGTCTTTTGTATGATGCTGTTTTGTGAGCTTCCTTTTTAGTTTCACACATCCTATATGAACCCTTTAAGCATTTTGACTTTACAGAGGAGGAAACTTTTCAAAAATAGCAACTACAGTTGTGTAATAAGTATAATGAGGAAATTATAACCCTATATACACTGTAAAAAAAATTCCGGAAAATTTACGGTAAAAAACCGGCAGCTGTGGTTGCCGGAATTTTACCGTAAAAAATACAGTAGCAACGTTTTAGGTTTTACGGTTTTAACTTAAATTTACAGTTAAATACCGTAATTTCATTAACTGATATAATGTTAATATACCAACCTATTGAAGTACTGAAATCTGTTTTGTACCTTTGTAATACACTGATAACCACCAAATGCAGGTGGTGATGAGAAAGTCACATGATGAACCAAAGCCCATCACAAGCAGCTTTTAAATAATAACATATATAGAAGGTGCACAGTGTCATTCACACAAACGCTAAACACCATCATGGTAACACACATGAAACTGAAATAATGCAATAAACATTCATTTAACAACATTAGGTGTAACACACAACCCTAATATGCAAAACTGATAAGAAAAAACTAAGAAGAAACAGTTATTTCAACAAAAAAACATCAAATTTGAAATGTAACGCAGGGAATTCTGGGAATGTCAATTTACGGTTATTCACTGTAAATTATACGGTATTTTTCACTTCCAAAAACGGTATACTACCGTAAACTTTATGTCCAATACATGTAATGTCTAATACAGTTTTCCACCGTATATAGTAGGGGAATTTACCGTTAACCATTTAACAGGTTTTTACTGTAGCATTTTTACAGTCTTTTACCGTTAAATTCACGGTCATTTTTTACAGTGTACACTTACTTACAAGCATATACAGGAATAAAATGACTTGAGTTTAATCATCAAGGGGCCTTTTAGGAGCAACAAATAGGTATGTAGTTTACAGTCAGATTAGATGTGACACAAAATAAGTCATAAAAGTTAAAATAACTCATTATTTAATAACACTAAGCACTTTACCATTATGCCGGTGCTGTTGGTTCCTCCTCGTTTGTGGTTCTTTCTTTATTGAGTGTGACAGTCCAAATGTTTCTCAGCACCCTGCCATGACCGGCAGACTCTACAGCACAAGAGCAAAAGTTTAGTGAAGGGAAGCAGTCTGTAACAAGCACTGAGCACAGATCACTTCCTCAAACTCCCACAACCCTTAGGTGAGACAAGAAGAAGTTGCACGCTCTATCGCCACACACGCACATATGCCTACAAACGCAGAGGACCTATAATTGGTCTAACTCACCTAGATCATTATCACGCAAAGCCAATAATGTGTCACAGGCTCCAGGTCAGCCGTTACTCTGAGGTGTGTGACACAGGATGCAGCTCCTCCTGTTGACTGGATGACAACAAACTGCAAGAGATGCAGAAATGATACAGTCATCCTGCAAAACACCAGAAATGAACACACCCTCACTCACGTTTGTACTTCTTCATTCAGTTCTGAATACAAAAACAAACCTGGTTTGAGTGATCCAAGGGCCTCCAAAGCCTTAACTCAGATGGGCTAAAAATGACATACAAAGCTGCACATTAGGGCCTCTGGGTGTATACAATGCCAGCTGATCAGTAGGGCCCCGGGCCCCTGAATACAATTTTAGTTGTTTATTGTTAGCCTACCAATATGTGCCATTTCGAATTTGTTTCGCCTTTGACAAAAGACAAAACAATGCATTGCATATTATTTGTACACAATGCATCTTTTTATTCCGCATTTCAAATTCATTTCAACTGGTCTACATACAATTCAGAGGACATAAACTACATCACAAGCACTTGACAGTACAGCATGTTACTGAGTAGCATGTGAAAATCAACATTAAACAAAGTCCAAATAAACAAGTGTGACTGCAATTCCAAAGTGAATCTACAGTTATTGCAAATGTAGGAACACACTGCAAAATTTAAAGATAAAAAGCTTACCATCAAAAGCAAAACAGCATTTTCATCTTTCACATAATAATTGTACCAAAGAATGATTACAAAGTTAGTGTCTCTACAGAGAGACTTTAACAATAATTCTAGTTTTCATAGAATCTTGCTTATATATATTTTTTCCTTAGCAAATGTATTACCTTTAGCAAAACAATCCCTACAATATAAAAATAACTTGAATCTTGAGATTACGACAAATAAAGACATAGCACCACACTGTAGCACCATAGATTAGCCACCAGTCCTTGAAAGGAGGCCACCTCTTCAAGATCTGCTCTTCAAATCAAACATTTGACGTCTGCTGCCAGGGCCCAGGATGGGGAGAAGATCTGTTATGGCTCTCTAATGGTGACTGACACTAATAAGTTGGCAAATTTGAGCTAAATGTTGATATTTGGGTTAGAAATGGGTAAAAGGAAACTGTAAGTTCTGAAAGGGATTCCAATAAATATGTTATGAAAAAACTGAATGTTGGAAGAGTTCACCTAAAAATGACAATTCTGTCATTTAATCACCATTATGCTGGTCCAAACCCTTATAAGAAACATGTATTCTTTTGTGAGGAACATACCCAAAATAAAATTAACAAAAAAAATTACTTCCACCCTAATTCTTCCCCTTTACTCTCAAAAGTGCATATTCAAATGCCATTGGTTTTGGATTGTCACTACAAACAATGACTTAGATACATTCTGGTATTTTACCTATATAAACCTATTGTATGGCTTTAGAGTAATTTGAATATAATTGCTTTTTAAAATTTCAACTGTGTGAATCGTCAACCACTATCACTGTATGGATTAAAGCAGCTTGGACACTGTGCTGATTATCATTTTGTTTTGCACAGAAGAAAAACAGGTTTTGAACAACATAAGGTCAAGTAGATTATGGCAGAATTTTCATTTTTGGCCAAACTATTGCTATGAAAGGTGACAGTATGAAAATTTGTTCCTGACCTGATAAAATGAAACAGAAACAGCCCAGAAACTACAAGGTTACATGGGTCAAAATTCTGTACTGTCACCACAATTGCTGCATGCAGACTTGTGGTGCATTAAAAGTACAGTACGTTATCTTAGGTAAAAAAGTGTCTGAAAATAACTATATAACCACCACATGGTTCAACAACAGCTTCCATTGACCTCTTTATCTACTTTTACATTGTGCACGGAAACTAAATTGACCTTACCTCTCGTTTCCCTCTGTTTGCTAAACAGTTCATTGTTCATCCAGGTTTGACTGATGCACAATATCTTATGGTTAATTAGTGTAAGCATTATGGGACCGGATGGCAAGAAAATGGCACAGCACCAGCAAATAGCCATAAGGCCGTCAGATTAGAAGATACAGTACCTCAGCACCAACCACACCGAATGAGAGCTTATGATATCTGAGTGATCTGGAGTTTCTCTAAAGGGCAGTTCACACAGACAGCGATTTAATTGTTCAATGTCAACAAGTCACTGCTTGTAAATGTTCCAACTCAATTGCAGAATTCATCTGTATCATGAAGCATTAAGGTGCGGTCACATTAGTGCATTTTCAGCAAATTTTTCTTTGCAAAAAGGTTAGGCATATTTTAGCATAGTGTAGCAATGTACAATGCACAGCTCACATACATGTTACGTTCAAAACAAATAGCTCAACGTAGTGATTTCGCAATTTGCAAAATTCATTGCAAAATCTGTGTAGGGAAAATTTACCCCTTAAGTGAAATTCCTATTGAAATTACTAGATTTCATCGTGAAAATTCTCAAGACAGAGGTAAATGTGACCACACCTTTACTCATGTCGTTTTAAATCACCAAACCTTAATAAAATAGTTAACTGTTGGTTGCTTTGTAAATTGCTGTAAGTGAAAAGGCCCTTAAAGGGATAGTTCACCCATAAATGAAAATACATAAATTACTTTCATTACGACTGATTTTGTTTCTGTGGAACACAACAATAGATATTTAAAAAAATGTATTTTATTGTATGGACATAGAGTTCTTCTTTTGTGTTCTAGAGAGTAAGGAAAGTCATACAGGTTTGTAACAATATGAGAGTGAGTAAAAAATAACAGAATTTTCATTTTTGGGTGAATTATCCCTTTAAAGATGCACTCAATAATGTTTTTCAGAAGTAAAATTGTGTATACATATGCA